TATATATATATATACACTCGGTGATTTTTGAATCGAGAAGCAAATAAATCCAAAAACTACAGCCTGCGACTGTCTGTAAGCGATTCAGCAGCCCCGAAGCACTTATAATAGGAGGACATGGCAACCTCACAACTCAACAGCATTTCCCGAGCACAGCTGACTCGGTAGCCACGCCCCCTCTGTCTGACATCACGCTCCTGGCAGCCCTGCGCAGTTTGCTTGAAATGCGTCGTATGTGTGTTGTGTCACGTACTATACTTCACTTTTGCACAGTTTTGGTCGTGCTCCTCCTCATTATGAAATGCATGGTTTATAAAAATAGTAACGGAGGATCGTCGTAAACCGAAACACGCCGGATTTTCCTGGTGAGGCAATAAAATGCGAACTTGAACTTCCTTTTACTTTTGTATAAAGGCGAAGTCATTGACTACTAGACGTTTGCACTAACAGTGTGCATTTAGAAAAACACGAAATGTAAGTTGCATTACTTTGCATTGAAGTGTTGGGTTGCCAACTTTTAAGTTCAGCTTGAAGTGAGATTTTTTTTTTGGGGTCGATCTCGATTCAATATCAATTCATGTGTATATAGTGTAAAAAATAAGGGGATAAAAATATTTTGTTGAATGCCTTTTTAACACCATTTTAAGCTTGTTTTAAATTCAGTATTTGCTTGCATTCATTGTGTGTAATTATGCGAGTATCATTTAAAAAAAGGATGTAGGGTAGGCCTAAGTTGTTAACTTTTTGAATTTCTCATTTAAAAATCTAGTGTTTAATCATGTCTAAATATTTATTCAAACGAAAAACTTAAAAAAAAAAAAAAAAAGCAGGTATGACCTGCAATATTCTAGATATATTTAGTAAAGAGCCATACAGGTACCTAGTGGGTAAACCATGGCATTACAAATAAAAAGTATTTTTTTCTGACCACAAAATGACTCTAATTTGCCTCTTTGCATTGGAATTTAAAACCCTTTTCTCTATTTTATCCTTAAATACTACTCTAATTGCTATATAAGTAATAGAAATATTAGTAAACAATATTTTAAGTCATTAATGGACCATAATTTTTGCACAAATAGTATGTATTACCAAAATATCTCCTCAAAATAAGAAATAAATATTATTGAACTAAAATATACAACACTTATTTAACTGAAAAATAGTTAAGCTGTATGCAATGCTCACTACTGTAAGCAGTAAGCAATGTCTGAAGGTTAAGTGCGCCAAAACGGTATTTATTGTTAGAATTTAGTATTAAAGCTTACAACATTAGAAAGCTGAGACTTTGTTTCATGTAGCAAGCAGGGTTGCCAATTTGGCGTGAGATTTACATGGGCAGATTGAGAGCGTGAGACAGAGCCTGGAAGCGCGTGTCTCATGCCAAATGCGTGAGAGTCGGCAACCCTTCAGTTATCCAGCTGAGATTGAAATAGTCATTGAGCCTGCCATGTTTCCACAGCTGCAGAGTATTACCTGCTATTGCTTACTAGAACATTTAATACTCTAAAATATTTACAAATATGCATCACTTAGAATGTTTCTCTTTTTCAGGTCTCGCATGGTACCTCTTTCCATTAAACATGGCCTGGTCTTTGGGATGTTGCCATAAAGACACACCCCTCGAAGAGATGAACGCTGACCTATTTTTTACCACAGTATCAGATGGCCCAAAAGAAAGTTCCACACCGATTTTGCAGGACATGTCCCACTCAAAAACAGACAGCGGAAAGAGGCCAGTTAAAATTCGTCCACCGAGCCCGAAGACTACCCCAAGGCCAACAGCAGGCCGCAGCCTGTCATGTGAACCACCAACCAAATCCATCATCCAGAGGCGGACGCAGTCCCTTCCATCTCCGTCGGAGAGAAGGAGGCTTAGTCACCGAGCCAGCGTCCGGTTTGTGGACTCTTTAGGCTTGGACCTAGAAAGTGTCAAGGTTTTTAAAAGCGGGGAGGACCCTTTTGTCCCAGAGCATGTTCTCTTTCGACTGTTAACGAGCGCAGAGTTAGCCTCAAGTAAGGGGATGGAGATTTCCCTACCATATTTGAAACCGATGTTCTCAGTCCAGCCAGGTGACTGTTCAAACTTCACAGAGCGTCTGCGTTGCCAACAAGTATGTCTAGAGCGGGTTTTGTGCTATGAGCCTGGCATTATAGGGATAGTTCAAGTTGTAAACTTGGCGTTTGAGAAGGAAGTGAGTGTTCGCTACTCTTTTACAAACTGGAAGAGTTGCTCAGAAACCAAGGCTTACTGGGTTGCAAGCAAATCCATTTCAAATGGGCCTTGCTGTGACACTTTTCGATTTCATCTACCCGTTCCTCCATATATCCTTCACCCTGGAGCAGTGCTGGAGTTTGCCATTTGTTATAAAGTAATGGGCATGCAGTTTTGGGATAACAATGGTGGGCAGAATTACAAATTAACCTGTCAGAGTTATAACCTGCCTGTGCCGAAGGAATGTGAAGACAGCGTGATACACTTTATCTGAAGACAGACACTGAGAGTTAGATGAAACTTTTTTTAGAGCACTGTTTCACTTTTATATTTTGCTTGCAACCACCAGCATTTTCACTATGTGATATACAGTGGGGCAAATAAGTATTTGATACACTGCCGATTTTTCAAGTTTTCCCACTTACAAAGAATGGAGAGATCTGTAATTTTCATCGTAGGTACACCTCAACTGTGAGAGACCGAATCAAAAAAAAAAAATCCAGAAAATAACATTGTATGATTTTTTTAGTAATTAATTTCCATTTTATTGCAGGAAATAATTATTTGATACAATAGAAAAATAGAACTTAATATTTGGTACAGAAACCTTTGTTTACAATTACAGAGGTCAGACGCTTCCTGTAGTTCTTGACCAGGTTTGCACACACTGCAGCAGGGATTTTGGCCCACTCCTCCATACAGGTGTTCTCCAGATCTTTCAGGTTTTGGGACTGTCGCTGGGCAACATGGAGTTTCAGCTCCATCCATAGATTTTCTATTGGGTTCAGGTCTGGAGACTGGCTAGGCCACTCCAGAACCTTGAAATGCTTCTTATGGAGCCGCTCCTTAGTTGCCCTGGCTGTGTGTTTGGGGTCATTGCCCTGCTGGAAGACCCAGCCACGACCCATCTTCAATGCTCTTACTGAGGGAAGGAGGTTGTTGCCCAAAATCTCACAATACATGGCCCCATCCATCCTCCCCTCAATACGGTGCAGTCGTCCTGTCCCCTTTGCAGAAAAGCACCGCTGACCTTCTGAAAGTCTTGATATTTCATTTGTAAATAATAACTTGAAGCTGTATGAAATATGAGATTTTTAACTGTAAGTGACGACTGTTTAACTGGACTGTAGCACTGAGAGTATTACTGTATGTTGATTTGATAATGTAATGTAGATTTAAAAAGTGCCTTTACTGTATTTTTTACCTTTCAGGTTTGCACTTACCTATTGTCACTATATGGTACATTTTCATAATACTTGTGGATATTGTAAACACAGATGTTGATAGAATAAATAAGGATGGGTAATCCCACTTGCGTTGAAGAACTGATAAAAAAAAATTCAGCCATTCTTTATTGCATCGCATTGTCCTTCACATAAAACCTTCCAATAAAGCCATATGTAGACACAAATTGCTGTATGTGAAGTATTGCAGGGGTGACAGCTTTCTGTAGGCCAAAACTCAGATGAATTATAATTTTAGCACTTCCGATTCCATTGTCTGAAGTCAGTTGGTTTTTAGAAATGCAAACTTTAATAGAAAATGTTTTTTAAATAAAGACTGAAAGAGTTGTTGGAAGTTGTTTTGTCAAATGAACCGGAACTGATGCAAACTACTGGCTTGAACTACAAAATATGTCATCAGCACTTTTCTTAAGTGTTTTTATTGTAGCTTCAGTTTGTCTGTGCCATGATTCAGGTTATAACAACAAAGCCATTTACATTTACAATAAATGATGCTAAAAGTCATGTCTTGCATGTTTTAATAAAATTCTGTTAATTAAAACTAATGCTATTTCATATGTGTACCCTTACGAAAATAACCATAGTTTTATTATAGTAAAAGTGTATTGACCATGTTTTTTGGCAGATTGATTTGTATAACCACAGTTTTACTACAAATACCATAGTTTAAACTATGGTTAGCATAGCAAACCCATGCTTAATTTGTGGTTACCATGGTTTAACTACAATAATCATGTCTTTTGTCTTTATTAGTAGTAAAACCATGGTTAATTTTCATAAAGCTGGAATTCATAAATCATTGAAATATTTCCAGTACGTTTTATTTGTAAGATTTCAGCCTTTCTGGTATTGAAGAAATGTTTTTTATTTATTATTATTATTTTTATTTTTTAGTATAGTATTTAGTCTGTAGTAGACTCAGTAGTTTTGAATCGAGAAGCAGTTCAATCGATTCACTGAAGAGATCTTGATTCAAAGTTTTTTTTATAAATTTTTATTTTATTGCTTAGGGAATACAAAAGTGGAAAAAACATATGACGAGGAAGAGAGCCAGCCAGGGGTTCAAGGTAGGGTTGTGACCTTCAGCGAGGCAAAATAAGGGACACCCATCCCCCCAAAAGAAAAATGAAACAAGGACACAAATAACAGCTCAACAATAAACCATGAGAAAACGTAAGCTTGCAACGGAACACATTTATATAGTTATTTTTGATTTTATTTATAATTATTATTTATTATTAGTCTTTTTTTGACATATCTGCAGCTGTTACCTGGATGGGATGAATTTCTTTTTTTTTTTATTCATTTGCTTAAATTAGGACTACATTATTATGTAATTATTTGCTCTATTTTTATCTAAATAATTTAGCACTTTTTAAATGCCAAATTGTATATGACAAATATGATGATTTATTATGTATATATTTATGAATAATATAAAAGATTAATTAATAAATAGGGCCTGACATGAATTATAATCTATTAATCCATCTTTCTAATAATGTATAATAATATAAGAATAATGTCTACCAAGCTCTGATAATGTCCTGATAATGTATCTGGAATATTATATAAACAGACTATCCAAATTTTAATAAAACAATAGGCCGATACCTTTAGAAGCATGAATGTGTCTGTCACTTTACATTTACATTTAGTAGACGCTTTTATCCAAAGCGACTTACAAATGAGGACAATGGAAGCAATCAAAATCAACAAAAGAGCAATGATACGCAAGTGCTATAACAAGTTTCAGTTAGCTTAACGCAGTACATGTAACAAGGTTTGTTTTTAAATTATATAATAAATAAAAAGAAAAACAGATTGAATAGAAAAAGAATAGAGCAAGCTAGTGTTAGAGGCCTTTTTTGCTTTTGATAAAGGTAAGGTTCACCCAAAAATGAAAATTCTTTCCTCAGGTGGTTGTTCTAAACCTGCATAAAGTTCTTTCTTCTGTTGAACACAAAAGAAGATACTTTGAAGAATGTGGGAAACTAAACAGCTGCTGGTCCCCAGTAACTTGCATAGTAGGGAAAAAATATACTCAGTCATTGGGGACCAGAAACTGTTTGGTTACCCACATTCTTCAAAGTATCTTCTTTTATGTTCAACAGAAGAAAGAAATTATTGTAGGTTTGAAACGACTTGTGGGTGTGTAAACGATGACAATTTTTTTTTTGGGGTGAACTATCCCTTTAAGTCAGTCCACAGTGAGCAACTGAAATGCTTCTCTGCAAACTGCGCGTTCATCATTAGTTTCTGGACAGACACATTGATAACTTTCCCATTCAGCCCTACATAGAGAGTCTTCTTGTGTTCAAAGGGCGGACCGGGAGGACGTGAGCCGCGCATGCTATGTTCAGTGCATAGACGGGTTCCTGTGAAAGAGCCTTAAAGGGATAGTTCACCCAAAAATGAAAATTTGATGTTTATCTGCTTACCCCCAGGGCATCCAGTGACTTTGTTTCTTCAGTAGAACACAAACAGAGATATTTAACTCAAACTGTTGCAGTCTGTCAGTCATATAATGGAGGTGAATAGATATCGCGACTTTGAGAGTCAAAAAAACATACACAAAACCAAATTAAACCCTGCGGCTCGTGACGATACATTGATGTGTAAAGAAACGAAACGATCGGTCTGTGCAAGAAACTGAACAGTATTTATATCGTTTTATACCTCTGATTTACTGCAATGTCCGAACTGTCCTGAGCGCGTTCTGAGCCAGCGTTCTTGTCTTCTTCTTCGGCGGCGCATGACGCGTCTTCTTCTTCTTGCTTCTTTTTGATCGCAGACTTATAAGTGCATTACCGCCACCTATCTCTCAAATGGTCCATTGACCCTCTATGAGCCAGCGTTCTTGTCTTCTTCTTCGGACCATTGACACTCTATCTACAATCTCAGTTGGGAGTCACCTACATCTTGGATGCATCTCGCAAATGAGCTTCTCTAAACCTTCTTATGAAATGTATTTCATTATAATGGCTATTAGTATTATCCACCCTGCAAAATCCTTGGCCTTTGTAAAACACGGGACAAATTGCGTCCCGTATTGATTTGATACGGACGCATAATTTTACCTTCAAATACAGGACAACCCTAGTTCAAGGATGGCCAAACAATACATAGCAATTAACATTTAGGAGAGAGAGAGAGAGTATCTCTCAAATGGACCATTGACACTCTATCTACAATCTCAGTTGGGAGTCACCTACATCTTGGATGCCCTGGGGGTAAGCAGATAAACATCACATTTTCATTTTTGGGTGAACTATCCCTTGCGTTCTGGAGACTCCGTCGCTATGGAAACAAAGGCCAAAATACAACCACTCGCAAATGAGCTTCTCAAACCTTCTTATGAAATGTATTTCATTATAATGGCTATTAGTATTATCCACTCTGCAAAATCCTTGGCCTTTGTAAAACACGGGACAAATTGCGTCCCGTATTGATTTGATACGGACGCATAATTTTACCTTCAAATACAGGACAACCCTAGTTCAAGGATGGCCAAACAATACATAGCAATTAACATTTAGGAGAGAGAGAGAGAGTAATAATAATAAATATTATTAATAAAAATAAAATTACAAAAAACTATTACATTAAAAGAGCGTCTTGTAGTCAGATGTTGTGTCCATTTTTGCGCCTGCGCGCACACGTCATCTTTTTTCCCGCGTTATCAAACGTTACAGAGCAACCGTCAAAGACGAAGTACATCGCTCTTTAGCAAACTAACTTATTTTGAGTGGAAGTTGACCATTTCCGTCTCGGTAGTTGTATCTTAACGATCTACGTTAGCTTCACATTATTAGTTAGTAATAAAAAGTATGTAAAAGTTGCTCCTGAAGGCCAGTGAAGCGTCAGAGTCATAATCTGAGGGAAGATCTGAACACTTGGCGACAGCCATAGCTACGGTTTAATCTAATAATTAAAATATGATCGCCTTCAGCATGAATTTGTATGGTTATGTCTATTATTTTGCTGTTTCGTGCTACAGTAATTTTGCTGTAACTGTTAGTTTAGAGCGTTATTAACTACAAATCCGCTAACAGCATAATTTGGTTAATATATGGAATTTGATTAATACATCGCATAAACAAATCTAAATCACATCGTTTTGTTTCT